ATTCTGCAAGAAAACAGCAACAAGAGCAGTAAGAGCACGGCAATATGAAAACTCACATGGTAGGGTTTCAATGGGAGATGAGGTGATTTACTGGATACGTGCAGTTGGACACTTGGCTTTTAGCATTCACCCTTTTACCTTGGGCATGGTAGAGGCAGCTGCTTTAGAACTGGATCCTGGCTGGAGGGGAAAATCTCACGTCAGAATAAGGAAGCCTTTTTTTTTTAGGTGTGTGTATGGTGTGGAACCAAGAATTTTAAGAGCACGTAGTGAGGCTGTTGTGGTGTACAGAGACCATCCTCACCTGCAGACATCAGGTACATGGTGTTACTCTAATGCTCCTTATTTGTTGCAGCCATCAGCTAGGAGAGTAGCTGGACAAAATGCAGGTTTCATTTGTCTCTTAAGTGCAGAACAAAGGAGTATTTCGTGCATGTCACTCTTTATGTGCTTTAATTAGCTCTTATCATCTCCCAGGCACAGCAGGTGTTCAAGGTAAACTTAACATGAAAACACATAGCTCACAAAATATTTTTAATTATCTATGGAAATGCAATTATCTATTTACAGCAGCTGAGTAACAAAAAGGCACATGCCAACAGATTGTGTTTGTTTAGCCTACAGCCTATCTAACAGCTTCTGCTAGGACTTCCATAGTTAGAACCATTTCTGTTATCATTTTTTGTCTTTTATAGCATACTTGACATAAGCCTATAACAGTTCATTTTCTCCATGCTGGACTGATATTTTCTTCTCCATGCTGCAGTCATATTTATTATTATTATTATTTTTATTATTATCATTATTATTATTGTTGTTGTCGTTATTTTAGTTTGTGCCATTTACATCTGGTGCCATTTACATCCAGTTCAGATTAGATTCTGTGCATTTGGCTTGCATTTGTACAAATGCAAATTACAAGAATGATTTCGAAGACTTTTGCAGTTAGAAACTCCTTCTTGTATGGCTTTTTCAGTTCTTAGAAAACATAATTTAAACAGCAGAAGTATGCAAGTTTGACCATGCCAAGACATTTTACATTAACAAGCTTTTAAAATGTTACTCATTATCTTTATCTTGCCACAAATAAATTAAATACTTTGCATGTTGCAGGGGTTTATGGAAAACTGTCAAAATGATGAGTTGTTTGATGAAATTTATAAACATTTATTCAAGTGAGTTTCACTGTAACTTTTAGATGCTCTCCTTTTATTTAAGGTCTTGGACCATATGTCATTTTTAATCTTGCTACAGTTTTAAGGCCTCTTAGTGTGTCCTCCAGCCCTCATTGGTTTTCTGATCATTATGCTGTAGGGGGACTTTGTCAAGAACAGCTCTAAGAAACTTAGGCCAATCTCAAGGTTTATCACCTTTATCTCACGGAGGAGAAGCAGTTATGTGTGAAATACAGTTTGTTCACATCAGTAGATACTGCTAACTTTAAATCATGATTAAGCACAGAAACGAATGAACGTAAACCTCCTTTTACAGCAAATGCATGTGGCCTTCTTTTTGATGATGTCAGTTGTTGCTGACACACACACCTTCCCATGCAGCATGTTAACTGCATGCTTTCTTGCATGAGAAGGGACCTGAAGCCCAAGGCCTAAAACAGTGAATTTTCTTAACAAAAGAAAATACTTGTGAATTCTAATGATTCAGTGTGTCTCTTCAGTTCTGGAAGAATTCTCTAGCTCAAAAATAATGGGTGTTCTTGGTATTTTGATGAGCCAGTAGAAGAGATGATCACGAAGAAAGATGTGAATGTGATGACTATCATCTTCTTTACTACTGTTATGTTTAACAAACAGCGAAGCTTTGTTTTTCATTTTAGGTGAGTGCTAAACATTTATTGTCACCAGCTAATGGCTGACACTGTTAACAATTTATGGCTGACCACTGGGAAAGCACAACTGGAGAAGGAGCCAAATGACGTAAAACTAGGTACTTGTGAACAGCTAGCACTCCATCAATGAACCCAGGCTGACCAATAAACAAAACTAATGAACGTATCCCTTCAACACAAAGTGATACTGTGTGATGCTTATACAAAGGAGGTAAGAATTTTGACGACATGTGATTTTGTTATATGCCAGCAGTTACAACAGAAGCCTCTGTGTGTGTCCAACAGCAGGACGTGGCTTTCAGTGTGATCCTCTGGCTTTGCTAAGTTACCGCAGCTTTGAATGTTTCTTGGAAAAGTAAATATCCATTCAAACATGGATGCAAGAAGAAATAATATCCAAACCTTTGGAACTGTGCTTAATGTGACATTACTACGAGAAAAAAACCACATACCACTGATGGGATAGACTTTGGAGAAAGGTTAAGGGAAAGGTAAAAAGCTGAGCCAAAACTCAGACTGTAGCACTGAATGAGTGAAACTTTAGGTGGGAGGATTGGGATGGCATGGTTCCCTCCTGCCCTGGATTTCACTTTGGGAGAGATTAAAATTAGAGAGTGATTCCCTGTAGTGTGTCACCACCACCGATGCCAGGAAGCACCGGAATTGCTCCCAACCATGAGCACTTCCCCCATTCCACGATAAGAGGTAGGTGGGGAGCTGAGCCCTCAGCAAGCTACTCTGCCCAGCACCTGGCAGCCTGTGGAAGGGGGAGGTCCACGGTGCCATCAGCAGGTGCATCTAACGATGAAGGACAGGGCAAATCCCTCACCCCAATGCTGTAGCAACCACAGCAAAAGGCACAGACCCAGCAAGCTCACCTCGGGGAGCACTCAAAGTATTTTCATCACACAGATGCAGTTGCAGAGGTAAGTTTGGGGCCAAGCAGTGTGTTGGGGATGCTGCAGCAAATCCCTGTGCCTTGCTGCATGACTGCCCTGCCATAGGTATGATTTCATTACTTGCAAACTGAATGAGGGACAGCAGGATTTGAGTGTGAAGCTCACTTGCTGTCCCTTCTTGTCTTTATTTGACAGATGCAAACCTTTTGCAATTGTATTTTTTATCAGCTCCCAGCTGTTATTTGGATACCTGATTGCTATTTGACGCCCTGCTGATTTGTATGTTTCTCACACCAGGCAGCATTAATATTTAATGAATTGTAGACCATCACAAAGAAAAGGCTCAATGCACACAGTGATATAAGTACTCTCCTGTGGGAGTTGTCACTTAAGAAATTATTGAAGCAGATTTTTTTTTTCCTGTGGCTTTTGCTTCAGAAGGGCTGTAGCTGTGCTGGAATTAGAAAAGGGAAACACAGCCACCGATTGCAGATAGAGAAGTAAGGAAGAGCCAGTTTGCCAAAAGGTTCAGTACATCTTTCCATTGGAAAAAAACCATTCGGATAAGTGAGAATCTCTTCTGGAGCAGTGTTTATTACGTACCTCTACAGGCTCATTTATCTGTGAAATAAAGGGAACCGTGAATCATTTCTCAGAATAAATAAAGTTTCATGCATTATACTTCGGCACTGCTCCCAATTTTATTTCCACAGAATACAAAATCCCCTCTTTTTATAGCTGCTTCTTTTAACAGCACCAAAATTATCACATGTGCCTATGCAGCTCAACCTGTTCAGATATTGTGCAATAGGAAAAGAAATCAGCTTTCTTGTTTCACGGGGAGGGATCTTGCTAGCGATTTCGACAGGCTTACAAATATCAGATTTCTGTGGTCCTGTCACAGGACGTTGGCTTCCCACTATAAAGGTGGGTGACAGTGGTGCTGCAAGCTTCCAGCGCTCTGTCGGGCTTCACTCTAACAACGAACACGCAAGTCTTGCGTCGGACTGGGAAGTAAATGGCTTTAAAGAAAAAGCAGTGCTGTGCTGCCTGCACCTGATTTGCAGTTGCTGTCAGCTTTTTTGAAACAACAGCTCACATTCACACCCCCTCTCCCCCAGAAAAAGACCGTGCAAACGCGAATGAATCCGAAAGCACCTTTCAGCTTTGTCACTAGAGCGATTTATTTCTGCGAGCGTGCGCTTCCCCCGGTGGAAAAGCACCGTGGAAGGAAAACGAGTTACAAAGCAAACCCGGACAATCTCCGCGTAGCAGAAGGGTCACACCGTCAGCGCAGCTCCGCGTGCAGAAGCTCAGCTTCGGTGCGTGCCCGTAGCTCACGCCGTGCCCGCGTTTAGAACGGCGACTTACGGACGGAAGAGCAAAGGGGGATCGAAGACCAGAACCTACCGGGCAACGATGGACTCGGCAGCGCAGGTTTGGGCAGGGCGCCGTCAGCCCGCGGCCGGGGCAGCCGCTCGGCTCCGGCTGCCGGAGCTCTGCTGCGGCCGCAGCGATAGGAGGGGAAAGAGAGAGGGGAGAGGGAAGCTCCGCGGAGCCGGCCGGGCGGCAGCCGGCGAGCAGAGCCTCGCAGCCGGTCCCCCGCCTGCCCCGCTCGTCCCTCCTCCTCCTCCTCCTCTTCCCGCTCGCTGTCCCCAAGCACGAATGGCCCTGCCGCTCGCTGTCGGGCCAGCCGAGGGCAGCGGCTTTCCCTGCCTAGGTACCTGCTTTTGCACGAACAGCGGACCCCTCCGAGGAGCCGAGTTTCCTCCCGTTCCCTCTTTTACCTTTCCTCCTCCTCTGCTCCTCGCCGCCCTCCCGTTCCCCGCCCCGCCCGCAGCCCCCCGACGCCGCTTTGGCCCGGGCGGTGCTGGCGGGGCCGGGAGGGAGTGGCCGGGCACCTCCCGGCGGGGAAGCGGGGTCCGGGCTGGCAGCGCGGCCGCGTGTGTGCGCCGGGGGGAGGCGGCGTGGGGCCGGGGGGTGCTGGAGGAGGGACTATGGGGGAGAGGAAGGTATAAGAAGGGATGCGGGCAGGGGAGGGGGGTGATGGAAAGAGGGGGTGCGGGGCCGAGGGGCTGGCGCTGACAGCTGCTTTCCCCGCACCCGCAGTCCCCTCCCCGGGGTGGGACTCCCCGGCGGGCCGGCATCTCCCTTCCTCCCCCCGACCCCCCCCGCCCTCCGTAACCCAGGGCCGGGGGTCGGCGCGGGCTCCGGCGTCCCGCAGGCAGCGGCACCCGCGGCTCGCAGCCCGGGACCATGCCTCGGTCCGGAGGGAGCCCGGCGGGGACACCCGGCCTCGTCCCGGCCGCTGCCGTCCTCCTGGGCGCCCTCTGCCTCCCTGGGGCGCCGGCCTCCTCCCTGCTCACAGGTAAGGGCCGGGGCTGCGGGAGCGAGGGCGGGTTCGGGGCAGGTGAATGGAGGAGATGGGTTTCCCCCCCCTTCCATTTTTCTTGCTTTTTTTTTTTTTTTCCCCTCGAGGATTATGTTTTATTGCTCTCTGGGGCGCGCAGGGAAACGCGAATCAATTTCTAGCACGAGTGAGAAGCGATTCCAACATGACACAATGCCGGCTAATAGGGCTATAAAGGGATTCCTAATTCGATTCCGTCTGACAGTCAGCCCGCTCGCTCCCGCCCCGTCGCCAATTGGCTGTCAGGCGCCAGGAGGATGCTCGGTTTAACGCTTGTGCCGGGCTCCTGGTCCAACACCCAGCTTTGCGCTGATTTCGACAAGCTCTGGATCTGTCATTACAGAATTGTCCTGCATTGCGTGGAGTACTCATTATTCTCCACACGTCATCTGAGAAAAGAAAAAGCTATAAATGGGACACAAAGCAAGTTGGGTCTGTGCCACCAATAAAGGGACAGTCACTTCTCTGCTCCCTTTGGCATGCTCACCTGCTCAAAATGGACAAATTGGGGCCAAACTTAAAGTTGAAGGCTAGGAATGGAGCAGGGGTTAAGTGAGACTGACAAGTCATCACCCAAGACCAGCTGGGGGAATTGAAATACGTCAATATTTTTTAATTTTTCTCTCTCTTTCAGGATCCATTGCAAAATGCGAAAATGAAGGGGAAATTCTCCAGATACCATTTATCACAGACAACCCTTGTATAATGTGTGTTTGCCTGGTAAGTTTGGATTTCAGATAATAAGAACATTCAGGCCTGCGCTAAAAGTAACAGAACAAAGAGGGGAATATTTTACATAATCAAACCTCAGGTACCTTTGTTGCCTTTACGTAACATGGGGTTATCTAGGCACTGAGCTAATGGAAAGTAACCCAATCCTTGATCTGGCAGTGGTTTGACTTTAAAACTCTTGGGCACAAAGTTAGACGTGACTTTAACGTGTCATTGCAAAACTGCGTCTAGCGTGTGTATTTGGAGCTGCTTTCAGGAATCAGAGGTGTGCACAGGACCCTTTGGGTGTAGCTCAGCAAATAGGGTGACGAGCAGGAGTAGGAAATGCTGCTGCTTTGAGCTTCCATGTGGTTGGCTTCCTCTGGATGTGAGGTGGAGGCTGCAAGGTGCTTTCACGGAATCACAGAATGGCCAGGGTTGGAAGGGACCTCAAGGATGATGAATCTCCAACCCCCCTGCCACATGCAGGGCCACCAACCTCCACATTTAATGCTAGACCAGGCTCCCCAGGGCCCATCCAGTCTGGCCTTGAACACCTCTAGGAATGGGGCACCCACAGCTTCTCTGGTTGCTTCTCTGGTTGATTTTGGGATCAGACAACAGCAAAAGCACAAAGGATGCTTGTACTGGTGCTTTGCTCCAGGATGGCACTGCCTGGCCTGCTGGAGATGCAGCAGTTAATAATAATCTTGTGCCAATACACGTCTTGGGGAGAAACATCCCCTTTCCTTGTAACTTTACATCAGAGTTGAGCATTTTGGGAGCAATTCAGCCGGATACGCCAAGGCTTAGGAGTTATTGAAAAATAGTTATTCTAAATAAAACTTTGCACAACATACTTAAGAGAAAGCCATAAACCTTAATGTGCTGTTGCATGCAAAGGGAAGCATGGACCAGCAAGTGCTGTGCTTTATGTTTTGGAAGTTACCGAGTAGTGGAATGCACAGAATGTTTTCTACTTTAGGAACAAAATCTCTAGGCCCCCCCACTTCTATTACTGCTATAAATCTGATTAGCATTAGCCTGCGCTATTATAACCCTATAAAAGACTTAAAGAATTGTTTCAGGCTGAGTTTTAGAAGGCAATTTTGGCAACTGTAGGAACCTGATCTTAAGCCCATTGAGTTTGATGTATGTCACATGGACTTCAGTAGATTTAAAGTGAGGCCCAGCGATAACTTTTTAGCTAATAGTGATAAAGAATAAGTTATTGATTCTTCTGAACAGAGTGGTGAGGGGAAAGGAGGAGCATGGGATGTGGTGAGTAAAGAAATCAAAGGGAAAACAAAAAAGACACGAAGCTGTGTTTTATCATGGATCACCTTCCCAAATACGTCTGCCACCACTCTTGCTAATGGAAGCTGGTGTTAACCAGTGAGGAAGCAATTTATCTGTGAAGGAGCAGAAGTTCAGTCTTGGACATGAGGGCTATAATGCAGGGTAAAATACTTATATTTATAGATCTCTCTAGACCTTGGCTTATTAAATCAATGAGCACCCTTTTAGTGCATGAACATGAAGAAGTGCAAAAAACACTGGATATAAGAACTCTAAATCTTTGCAGATACTAGGGCATATTTTAGAGAAATGGCAAATGAGGGCACTTGGTTCCCTTCAGTGGAAGGAAGATACCACATTTCCTTTATATGGATGCCTAGAAAGTTACTGCATTGGATTTGCTCTGTTTCATTTCTGCCAAAGGGTAAATGTAATCTCTCTTTCTTGAGTGGGAAGCCAGGAGGCCAGGTAGAGGAGAAGGAAACTAGCGTGGAGATACTGACTTTGACACTGTACAGCATTCCAAGCAGTGACTTATTGGACAGGTGGTTGCTGAAATCTTTGTTCAGGCCTTACCATAAGGGAAAAGATCAGTTTTAGGAGGTCTGGTGAGATAAGAAACAAAAGATGTGATATGGTGATTTGTTACCAGGAGGGAAAAGAGAACCAGGTTTCCTTCCACCCAACTAGAAATATCAGTTGTTTAATAGTGATTCAGTGAGGAACTTTCTCTGGAAGACTGATCATCCTCTACAAGGGTAAACCTGATCTCTGTCTGTATCTTTAGAAGAGAACAACTTAGAAGAGAACTTAATCAGCTGATCCAGGAAGGAAAAAATTGCTGTCCAGAGAGGACAGACTATTTGACAAAGGGCACTTGTCTTAAGACCAAGGAGAAAGCAGGTAACTGAAATATTGGATTGAATGGTGACAGGTTTCCCCTATCAGTCATGCATTTCCATAGCTGCAAGCTGTCATAAAGAACTGCACAAGTTGTGGAAATCTGAATGGAGTATCTAAATAAAGTCTTTCCATGTCTTTCCCATCTCAGTAATGAGAGAAGACTGACCTGAAATGCTGAAACCAGATCACCAAGTGCTTTACAGAACTGACTCTGCAGATCATGTCCTGCAGTGCACAGGATTACATCCTAGCAAGGCAGAAGAGGGGAGGCAGCATGAGCAAAACAGTCTCTTAACAGTCTGAATAGGTTGGGAGGGCAAAGAAAGATATAATACTCTGAGAGCAAATGTGGTAGAATCTAGAAACTCAAAGGTCATGAATATATTGCCATAATGCAACAAAGGTTTCAGAGAGAAATTACAGATGCAGTTTCTCATACAACATTGACAAGCCTTGCTAGAAAGTCCAAAACCCAAAAGTTGTCTATTCTCGCTGACTGCAGCAGGCTGGGCAGGCTGATGTTTGTGATAGGAACATGAACAAAGTAAATAACGTAGACACTGACTTCAGCAGGTGCTGCTTTGCTGAAGCCTGTAGGTGCCATCTGAGAGTTATTGGCAACACAAAAACCTGAACACTGAGGATCTTCTGGGGGCAGCCAAGCGCAGCTACCAGCTGAGATGAGTTCATTCATAAGCATCTGCTGTAACACGTGGAAAGAGAAGTTGTAGTGATAAGGGAATGCAGAGTGGGGGACATGTGCTGGAGATTTCATATGCTGCATGTAGTAAATCGTTCACTTCTAAAGTACAGGTAATAGTTTTCTAAGGAAAAGGTCCACCATGAGATAACACTGTTGTGGACTTCTTCACTTGTCATACGGAAATGTAGAGGAGTGCACAGAACCATCCTGGTGCTTGCCTCCTAGTATAAGGGAACAGAGGTCAGAGTGGGACCGTGTGTGAATGTACACTGCAGCTCTGTGTGCGAGAAATATCAGCAGAACAAGGCACTGCAGATAATGCTGGATATTGCTTTTGTGATGTTTTCAAGTGTTAATATGGAAATATGCTTTAGTTATGATATGCAATTCAGCACAGAAGTAATCGGATGATAGTCTGTGGCTAGTGATACAAAGGATATCAGGACAAGAGGATCCTGTGATCCTTCTGTTAAGCTGCTATGAAGTTACAAGCCCTAGAAATATTTTCTGGTAGGAAAAATGAGAACTAATAAAGCCACTTTAAGCTTTACACTTTACTTATGGCTAATAAAGTTTTTTTTATCTATTGGATGGGATTACTCATTACGGTTAAGTACTAACAAGATGAAAATCTACAGGCCCTAAAGTTACAATCTATAAGTCTTTGCTGTATTATCATAATAATGCCCATTAAAAATGGTCATTTTAAACATCTGTAAGGCGATAGTTTCAGAGTAAGCTTTTACAATTACACTTCAGTACTGTTATATTGCTGTCCAGCTAATCATTTCTAAGCACTTAATAAACATGAATCAATTCAATCTCCAAAGAAATGATCATTAATTACAGCTGACTGCAAGGACTGAGCTTTTTATCTTTTTCTTTTTGCATAGAAAAACATCAAAGTCAAAGAGAGGTTGTAGTTTATCCACAATCAATTTCTTGTAGGACTGTGATGAAAGCTTAGGTCTCCTAACTCTTCATCTAATGGTTTGACTACAAAACTATCCACTTTCACTTCACTTGCACTTTACGAGAGGGTGTGGGTGGATTTGAGGTAAAAATATATAACATTAATAATATTCATAATGGAGCTATATTGATTTAGTTTAAGAAACTAATTCTTTATTCCAGGTATTAAATGCTTTAAGACTGCTTGGGGTTATATCTAGGCTACCAAATGCAAAAATTCTCCTCTATAATATTCTCACAAATCTGTGGAAACACGTGTTTATTTCAATCCAGAGGAAGGTTTTATACACTTTTTAAATTTTGGGGGGACCCAAACACGTCACGTCTTCAGATGCAGACTTAAATATTTCAGATGTAAATGTATTATTCTGAGGGTTGCAGAGGCTTGAGTGAATTGGTCTTGTGTAGAAACAGAACTTCATAAACATGAAAATTTACCACACTTGGGGAAGTTTTGGTCTTTTTGTAGAGCAGATATGTTCTGAGGATTTTGAAATGTCAAGAGGAAAATGCTATTAATGGAGAATTGGGGGAACATTTGATTACATTTCTTTTATATGGGTGTGAGCATATAAAATAGGCATGGAATATTTTAAGTTTAAGTTAGGTACAGTACAGTAAATGACCAAGTGCAAGAGAGTTTTTGTTGGTACAGCTTTTTGGCTGGAAGATATCTAAAACTCAAAATAGAAGTAGTCTCACACCTGATATTATAGCATTTGCTTTCAAGAAATATACATGTGTGGAAAAGACATAAAAATGCTACAGTCTGACAGAAATGGGTGAAATGAGAGCCTGTGTATAATTTTAGGATGAAAATGTAAAAACCTCCCAGGATCGGCGTAGCCTGAATTAAACTTTGAGTGCTGACTATTGTGAAGGTGAGATGAGCTTGGGGGTGACAGTGCTGATGGGTGGTGTTGATGAGAGCTGTGCCATTTTCGGCTTGTGTATCATCATCTAAGTGAACCCTGAGCATCTTGCCAGAAGCAAGCAGGGATCCAAGAATAAGCTATTCATTAGCCAGTGGTGGGTGTATGTAATTTTAAAATGAGTGGATCAACAATGCCAGTAGAAAGAGATAGGTGAAAAGCCAGGAAGTGCAAGGAAGTAGATAAGTGCACCTTAGCTA